AACGCTTCCTCAAGCACAAAGCTACGGCAGCCCCGCTGCAAGACGCGTCTAATGAAGGAAAAGAACTATCACGCCTCGCACGGGACTGGTAGATCGCCTAAGGGTGCTGACGCATGCGGCAATGCTTATACCCGCGGATACATTTCACAACTGCGCACATAAAAGGTTACCAGATTGAACATTCCCAGTCACCTATATAGAGCTCTTAAGCCATAGCTAGGTGGCCTTCAGAGAAATCGGGTGCCCAGCACAGTACTCGGCACTTGAGTTCTCATCGTTAGGTACCTCCGCGCACTATATATACAGCAAAATCGCGTTGTGAAGCAGCAAGACTTGCGAATAACAATGTTAATGCGCTTTTCAAATGCTCAGATAGAGAAAATTTTGAACCTCGAGATTTATTACTTTCCCTAGCCTTCAACAATGCATCTCATTTTTTCTCTTACGTGTACGCTGTATTTACGGCCTCGGTAAAGAGCGCCGTCACCGCCGTAACATATTCATTGTCTGTGCGGCGCAAAAACGCATCCACCGCCACATTAATTCAGCCTTGCTTAAGTTTTATTCGATATGCGTAACAGCACATTTATTGCTTAAGTGAAAACGACTCAAAGCCAGGAAGACGGACCCTAGCTTTGACAAGAGCGTTATTCATACCAATTAGCTTCTTCATACAGCTGGAAGTTTTTCTTTGGCGCTTGGAGTAGAGCCTATGGCAAACTATAAAGCATCACAGACGGCATGCATTACGTGACTCGAATTCGAAGGTGGCAAAATAGGAGTACTCATGAGGACTTCTTTCACAGCACTAACGACCGTCTCTTTTGCTGCACTCCAGCACGATAAGAATCCCTTAAAAATCAGGGAGGTGGCGTGTTATGTCGACGTAATCTTTACTGTACATTAGCAAGCTGTTGGTAAGACAAGGCCACTTCCTGAAATCTAGATGAGATGCTGATCTTGGCCAATCCACGATAGTGTTGATCAACGCGTGGTCTTCCCGCCAGTCAATTTTTTTATCAATCCTCAAATGGATACCCAGGCGCCATATACGTATATACATATATTAGTAAACAACGAAGCTAAACACATGCAATCAAACACTTCTCTCAACTGTTTGACGTGGATGCTGTGCGCGACGATGGGCAAATATTTCGTCGGAAATAGTATTTTTGTTTACGATGCAGTTCAAAGAGCTGTATCTCCAGCAAAATTCGGCCGTTGGCCCATTGGACAATTTTTGGGGCATAGTGCCGAGCATCTCGCTCGGGGTTGAGAGATATGTTACTGTCTTACTTCAGCACTTAATGATATCCATTATGTACATCACACAGCTTGCCGTTAGCTCTTCTCGCGCAGAGAATTGGCACTGAGTGATAAGATTTTCTCTCTCGTACCAAACCCACTTCGTATTCACACTCTGTAGATTGCGTCTATAGCGCCACATTGTTTGCGATTAAGGGCCAGTGGTATGTGGTACAATATTTGTTTTTAGAAACAAGGTTAAAATCATGACGCACTTCTTATTCCCGGGGCAACACGTGTGGTCATCTTTTGCCCCCATGTCGTGATATATTATTTTAAACGTGATATAGGATCCTTGAGAATGGCCATCTCATAACCCTCTTCAAGTAGTTTAAAAAGCGAGCGTATCCATGGGAAGTGATGAGCTCAGCCTCTTCTTCGGATCCAGCAGTACAGCTCAAAGATCTTATCGTCTTGCAGCGTTTTACATACAATTCGAGTTTGAAACCTTTATGTTTGAGTAGTGCGGGAGACTAGACACCCTAAACTGACAGTTTGCGAGGCAATAACTAACTTGCCACAATATCATGAAGTTTCAAATATCTACACGGCAAGCATGTCATCTGGTGGGCTCACTGAGCAGTACTGTCGCAATTGCTACGAATAAACCCTCCTTAATAGCAGCAGGGCCTGGTGGTACTTCTCGCGACTTAAAGAAGCAAATATTCAAAGGGGTTTGCTGGGAGTGTGCTAGTAAATTTTCACCGAATCTCCAACATTTTGAAGCTTTAAGAGGCCGTGTGGGCACCTTCCGATAGCGAATGGGTATAGAGAATGCGCTATATGCATTGACGCATCCATACGGGGCATTCCCCGCACTGCGACACAGGCCGTCTTTTTCTATTTCGCCAATACGACATGTTGGCGCTCCAATATCGCAAGTAAATATATTTTTCTCGACAGGGACTAACTCTAGAGGGCGCGACACATATTAATTATTGAGTTTTAGAGAAGACTATCAGCTTCGAGTGCGACGATTCGTAATCCTTGATATCGGGACGCCACTATGGTGACCGCGACAATCAATCGCAAATCTCTTTTCGTCGGATAAGCGCTCCGGAGTCTGCGACATACAGAAGCTGATTTTGGCTCTGTAGCTGATAGCCGCTTCTCCATTCCCCACTTTGCTTAATGCGCTCAGTAATATTGCCACTCGTCAATTTACACAATCTTTTTCTTGTACAAGTTACCGCGGTTTTACCAAACATACTAGCAGAGATTATCCCATGACTCACCAAAGCTCTAACAGGAAAGTAGGGCGTAGCATTCAAACTATCAACGTTATGGCTCGTCGCACTCAAGCCAGCTGATAAAAACCACCTCAAAAGATCTCGGACGAAACAATGTTCCACGCGGCTTAGGTTCTCAAAATTCGAGGAAGGTTGTAAACCTTCCAAAATAGTGCTACCATCGCAAGATGCAACGCTGTGTATTGTTTTCATCTACCGCACCTGGTTCAGTATTGCACGATACTCTGAATCTCCACATCTAGCACGGCTTTACAAAATTTAGATCATTGTTGTTGACCTTCGAAAACCCTGAGCCTACAGCCCCATATCTTTTAGAAGAGAAGCTATTAATCAAGATTATTAAGCTGCACTCAGCCCTGACGAGAAAATAATGTCTTAAAATTTTCCTCCGAGCAGGCTGTCGAACGCCTACTCGACTATCCTACAAGAGGCTCGTCAGATGATGTGGGAGCTCGGAACTGCATACGTCTTGGAAAAAAAGCATTTTGAGCTCGGACGTCTGATACAGCCATAGATATAACATATGCGCGCTGCTCGGCAGCTAAAAATATCTTTTTCTTCCTCTGCATGATTAATGTTTGATGTATATGCGCACTCAAAGGGTTTTAATTTTTTGTATTCCAGACTGATCTCGCGGCACGAAAGTTGAGAATGTTTGAGTCTACGAGGAAGATCTCGGCGCGAGCTTCACCTGTACGGAGACTTTCTACGAAGACGTTAAGTATTATTGCTCTTAGAAGAGATTATGTTATCATCGCGACGATCAGAGTTCTTCACGATCGAATTATCACCATCTGTGACGGATGGACAAATATTCTGAGTACACACGATACGTCTGGTTAGGCGGTGCGAACACTCGCGACATATGTTGCCCAATGCCCAGTTCCCGGCCATTCCGACCTTTAATCCGGAGCGCAAACATTCCCTTGTCTCAATTCTGACGATCAACATAAGCAGTCTCAAGGTGGGAGCTGATAGACTCCGTGCTGGAATGCGCCTGTAGGCGCATTTTCATAGCTGATGAACGCCTTTAGGGTCAATTATCGCTCTCGGTCTCTAGACTGCAATTTTAATATCCGTTTAGATCCAACGGTAGACATGAGCTTACTAAGTTCATCAAGTTTTCCTTGAACAGCTCGTGAACGTCAAGAGGTTTTGCCAATAACGAGATTGACAACAAGCGCTACGAAGTGCAACGAGGTTGCCGGGCGCTTTGCAGAAAGGGAGCTTCGACACGAAGAGTTCGCATTGACAATTGTACAGATATTGGATTTCTACGCTTCAACCGGGAGCGGAATCGGGAATATGGAATGAAACCAGGACTTAAGTATGCTGTTTCAAGAAAATATTTCGCGATTGATTCTCTCACGACTAATACTTAAAATAATCTGGGTTGCTGAACAACCAAAAGCATGGGATGACTCGATGAGGCGATTGGAAAGGTTCATTACATTTTCTATCGCATCTCAAAGCGCTAGCTCAGTACCTATGCGGGTAAAAACGTGGAAGAATTTCGAGGCTAAGAACAGTCAGGACGGTAATTCTACGAGCGTCGTACCTTGCGGTCTGACTCTTTGGCGATTTGTAATCTTCAATGCGTTTGAACTCACCTTTCTGGAATAAGTGACAATGGTAAGAATTTATACGAAGTAAAGTACGCTGCTCGTGAGATCCCCGCCATACGTTTAGCGGCGATAACACGCTTCTAGTACCGCGGTTACCTTCAGCTACAATTGTTAGACGCTGGGTGCGAGTGGGTTGGCCGATCGATGGCCACCACGTAACGATGGAGAACCAAGAAGTGTAAAGAGGTGATCGTCAAACAGAATCAATGGTAGACCATCTAGTTTTACAGGCTACTAATAAAGACGAGACCGGCTTCTATTCGTCAAAATAAAAGCGTTTACCCTCCAGCGTCATCCTCCGTTTCCGACTGAAACTGCAGCGACCATCACTCCTGTAGGGATGGGGGGTTGAATAATGTTTCCAAGTTAGCTAAACGAGCTCATACAGAAGGAACAAACCGCTGGTTCTACCGCTGCAAGTAATTATACGAGCCTGACGCCTCACGACAGTGCTGACCCACGTTTCACATCACTTAAAGCATCTCCCGCTGCCGCGTACGTGCGGGGTATATACACAAGAATAGGATGCGAAAGACTTATGGCATTTCTATGTATGTTCTGCTAGTTTGTTCTGATCGGTGGTTTGATACCATTTTAAGAATAGAAAAATCTAGTAAGCTATGGTAAGTGAACGAGACAGCGATATCTACGTGGATGTGACGCACGGTCTGGATGAGACGAAGGAGGGCCTTAGCACGTCCAATGAACGACAGCACATCGCCTCTGATTACACAAGCCGTCTGTTCCCAAGACATGTGCAAGTCATATCTCCCACATCGACGAGTAGCAATGGCTCTGGATCTGAACCTTGCGATCAGAAGCATCGTAAAAGAGCGCAGACTGCTGCCGTTTCGACGTCAGGCACAGCTACGGAAACAGATTCCGACTTGGAGGAGAGTCGTAGTGATACTGATAAGGAGAAGGTGCACGTGATTCGGTCCATGCATGCTGCTCAAGACAAACAAGCAAAGGATGATAGCATTGAAGTTATCAATGATGAAGAATGCAAAGGTCTTGGAGAATTGCGATCGAGTTTCGATAAAGATCAAGAACGGTTTGAATTAGCAATTGCATTAGATTTTGAGACTGATACGAATGCAGCGTCGAGCGTTGGCCGACCTAGTGTCACTCGGCAGACGTCAAGCAGTTTTTCAGACCTTGGCGACTTTGACGACTTTTCATTTTCGGATGCAATCACAATTCCAAATGGAGGAGGAAGTGGTAGTGTTGCAAGCAGCAGCAATTCGAATACTCCCACTACGTTTTATCCTATCTATGGAAACGATACGTTTCGATTCACACATACAAGCGTGAGCAATTGTGGATATGGTAGCTACGATGCCATTGAAAAAATTCCGGGAGTGTACACGAGTCCAGTGAGAAGTGCACGTAGTGCAAACTCGCCAACTATACTTCGTCTTGATAGCTTTGGGTGCAATGATGGCCGACTTACTCCAACCTTTCAACTGACACAACCGGCTGACGAGTCACAACCGCTTGTTGGTGATATCTATCCTGTTTCTGGCGAGGTCGTTCGATTGCGTGTCGACAATTGTGCGTATATCATTTTTTACAAGAGCGATGATAGTGGTGAAGAGCAGACGAAAAGTGAATTGCTAGGATTGTCGTCTTCGTCCGATGAAGACGCTAATGAGTGTAGTGAAGATGGCTCTGGAAAAGTAATACCGCCTCGTTCGTACGTTTCATTGGGTGCAGCTGGCCACAAGGTGCAAACTGATAACTGTTTTACACGCGATTACAACCACCCAACGCGATCTTTAGGTAGGGGTCTCTTTCGCGCTTCAACCAGTGTTGGCAATGCATTCATGAAAGGCGCAGCGGGTTTGGTAAATAAAACCTATCAAGGTGGAGCAAGTGGTGGAGTCTTTGGATTTGCCAAAGGATTAGGCATGGGAATGTTAGGCCTAGGTACACATACTGTCAAAGGTGCTTTTCGTGGAGTTGGGCAAGTGACGCATTTAGTAGGCGAAATGGTCCTCGGAACTGCACCCCATTTTAGCATTGATGGTACGCTAGTGCTCACGAATTACCGCATTATTTGGCAAGCGCTGAGTACAAAAGATGCGATGGAGATCCCTTTGGCTACAATCTTGTCAGCCGAAAGCTCAACAACAGCACCGCATGTCGCCAATATAGAAGGAAAGCATCTTTTACGAGCATCTCTGGCATTTCAGAATGAAACGACTTGCTCGGATTTTCTGAACTGTATTTGGGAGCTGTATTCGTCGGGAACGTCACCTCCGCACTATTTATTTGCGCACTTGCATTATCAGGCATTACGGCATAAAGACGAGGCCAAGACGGTGAATGGAACTGGTTTAGAGACACCGAGTGATTTGTTTTATGACGCAGAGGAAGACTATCGCCGACTTAAACTTTTGGATGAAAACAGCTGGATGCGGTTATACGATAATTCAGATTACGCGATGTTTCCTTCGTATCCCAATACTTTCGTCATCCCATCTGTTTTGGATCAGGATGACTTACGCCAACTAAGTGCTTATCGTAGCGCAAGTCGCATTGCTGCTGTAGTGTGGCGCCACCCGCACACAGGGGCGCTTGTGTGCCGATGCGCTCAACCGTGCACAGGGCTTAGTGGATATGTTGTAGCTGCCGACCAAAAATTGGTATCTGCCCTGCAACACGCAACGAGTACATACGGCGATGCAAAATTTCACTTTTTTGATGCGCGAAGTCAAATGGCAGCAACAGCCAATTCTGCGCAAGGCAAAGGTACGGAAGATCCGCGAAACTACCCGAACTCGGAGCTTCACTTTTGCGATATTGCCAATATTCATGCTGTTCGTTCGTCCTACGCGTCTTTAGCAGAAGTTTGTCAACCTGGTCAGGAACGTGAGAGCAGTGGCTGGCTTTTTCAGCTGAGAAGCACATTTTGGTTTCTTCACTTATCAAATATCCTGTCCACTGCACAGGAAATCTGTCGATGTCTCAATCAGGGCCATTCAGTGATGATCCATTGTAGCGACGGATGGGATCGGACTCCACAACTTACAAGTATGCTAGAGCTATTGCTAGACCCGTACTACCGCACACTTCGAGGATGGCTTTGTTTGATCGAAAAAGAATGGTGCTCGTTTGGACATCTTTTTCGACACCGATATGGGCACGGCGAAGGTCCAGGCCAACAAGAGCTTGAAGAACAGTCCCCTGTTTTTATTCAGTGGCTTGATGCAGTGTGGCAGATTTGGCGTCAACAGCCTTGGGCATTTGAGTTTAACGAAGCGCTTCTATCGGCACTATATGATTGTATATTCTCTGGATTGTATGGCAACTTCCTGTACGACAGCGAGCGACAGCGTAATCAAGAGGAGGCCAAAGTACCAACTCGATCGTTGTGGTTTGTTCTTCTAGAACAGGCGAATAAATATTTGAATGCGGAGTACGACAGCGCTAAAAATTTCAATAGTATTGGATTAGTTCTTCCATTCTCCTCCGAGGAAAATGACTTGGTCATGTGGGATAATCACTTGACGTATGCCGATCCTGTTTGCCGGAAGTATGAGTGAAAAGTGACTTTTGAAGTATCATTGCATTGAGCAGGACAATTCAAACCGCAGGATAAAGTGTCGGCTTAAGTCACGAGTGTTGCAACATTCACATGGAATAGCTCAACTAAGCATCATGTCGAGAAATTTAAGGACTTGAAGCTCAAGCTTATCCTCCAAAAAGTGCTTTTTACTGCGTTCAACAGTTATTAGATGCGATTCAACGGATTTGCTTGCCACACGTCATATAAAATGACGTACATGAATTCCGTTGGATTGTGCCGTTCTGGAGATTGATGCGGTGATGTCAGGCACTTTGGATTCTTCTTATCTGAACGGGATGGTGTGTCGGCAATTGCAATGCTGTCTGGTTGTGCTAGCGAATGCAATTTGGTAGAGTAGTTTAGTAGTAGGTAAGATAGAACAAGCTGTTTGTGTTGTAGAAAGTTTGATAAAGCGCTACAAGTAAAATGCTGACCTGATGCCTGAGCTGTGTCCTGCTGGATCTTGCATTGAGTCGAAATCAGCTCTTCAATAGGTGTATTACCATTAGAATTTTTGCTATTGACTTGTTGGGGGTACGATGCTTCAATGGCATTTTGCTCGATTTCGAGAACATCAGTGCGCAGTATTCCATACTGGGGTACTTCAAGCTCTGCATCGCCGTATGAGTTAAATACGAAGATGAAAGATAAAAACCCAAAACTCTCACCAGGCGAGTCACAACGATCTCCATGCTCATTTTCCCATTGAATAATTTCAGCTGCTGCAGCTAGTTCCTGAGAGATTGAAACTATTGCCGGTATTGGAGAATGTTGAGTTTGGAAGCTCTCTTTCGAAACGTGCTCGTCAAGCGGCGACTGAAGAACGTCGGTGTTATCCTCTCGATATATATTTTTTTCAGATTGCGCGAGCGCCGCTTCCGCCAGATGCTCATTTTCCCACTGAGCAATTTCTGCAGCCGCCTCAAAGTCTTTCCAAAAGTCCTCTGGTCTTGTTTGCTTGTTTGAAGTAGCTCCTAGGAGATTATCTGGAGTAACGACGCGAGGAATCGTATTCGATAGTGATGTTATCTTCGTTGAGGAAGTTTGAAATGGAGGCTGCTGACAAAATGAAGCCTGCAAACTGTGTCGGGCATCATCAGCTGGGTCGGGATCAATGACAACTGGAAACTGATTAATATTCAATGTTTGAGCATGAGCCATTGCAGAGTGCCGACTTCGGCGTCGTTTCTCAAGAGCTTCTCGCCTCTTCATTTCAATAAGTTCTTGCTGTTTCTTCGTTAAGATTTTGGGCGAGCCTATTGGATGCTTGCGCCGTTGTAAGGCTTCTTGTCTTCTTTTCTGTACCCTTTCATGCTCTTCTTTTGTTAGTGTCATCGATATTCCAGTATCAATCAATGACTTGTTGACATTTGTTGCCAATTGAGTCTCTTTGACTTCTTTAGTAGGCGTCATCATTGTTGCCGATTGCGAAGCTGAGGAAAGCAGCCCATTCTTGACTAAAATCTCTCGCGCAATTTCTTGTGGGGTCTTAACCACATGGTTGTTTTTTGTATCTTTACAGTTGACATAGTCGTTAAGCTCAGCTTCGTAGCTCGTCGTCGAACGTCAGTACTTACATTCTTTTGCCTTAATTAGTATTTGTTTCCCATATAGTTTTTCAATCTGTGCTAATTAACCTTTTACAGAATGACTGATTAAAAGAAGTACATTGCTCACACCTCCGCCCAGCGCCCAATGTTTGCCAGCTTCTGTACGTGCTTCCTTTTGGTGGCCACTGTCTGCTTCTTACCTTGCTTGGATGGCCGTGAAGTCTTTCTTTTTGATCTTAGCCCACTCTTCTTGGCAGGCATTTCAAGTCCGCACTTCAATAAAAACGTCAACTCCAAGATTGAAGTTACATAATGACTACATTTTCCAATTACTATTTTCTTAGTTTTAAGGAGCAGGCAGCACTTCGTCGCTCCAGAACCCCCAACAATTGCCCATGCACGTTGCCATTCCGCACGTACGGCAGTGAATGGGACGAGGCTGGAGCGCTAATATCGCTGCTGCAGCTTTTGGATCAGCGTCTATTGCTCTTTGACGCTCTGCAATTTTGTTAAGCTGATTGCGGATAGAGCGACGTTTATTCTTGCTGCTGGACCTGTCCTCCAGTAGATTGGCAAGAATCTCTTCAAGTGCCTGCTGTTGTTTTATCAGTTCAGCACGTGACAAATATTGCAGAAACGTGACGTAGCAGTGTTTTAAATACTGATGATCAGTGCAGTGTACTTCGCCATGACGAGCAAAGTAGCAGGGATCACAGACAAGTACTAGGTCACGGCACACTGTGCACACTTTTCGTCCACTGAATTCATCATGCGGCGTCTGGCATTCGATGCATTTCCCGACAACTTCATTGTTCTTTTGCACTCCCATCAAAACCCTACATCATCAAGAATTAAGTCAATCTCCATTTCTAACATCATCGCTGTATGTATCCTTACCGCTTGTCAAAGACAAAATTTTTGCCGCGAAAAAAGCCTCCATCCTCAAAAGTCTCAAGGTACTTGTGAATGCCACCTTTCAAATGATGAACATCATCTATGCCTTTACTACGTAGAAAATTGGACGCTTTTTCGCAGCGAATGCCGCCTGTACAATACATTAATACTTTCTTGTTCTTCATTTCGTCCACACGGCTCTGTAAAAATGCGTAGTACTCGGAAAAGTTTTTAACTTTGGGATCTACCGCATTTTCAAAGTGACCTGAGAAAAATTAATGCTGATGTTAGAAATTACAACAGAAAGTGAGCTACATGATGGATTTACAAACCGACGAGATATTCTTTGTGTGCCCGTACGTCCAAAATAACGGTGCCTTCTTCGTCCTTTACTGCCTCGTGCATTGCTTCGTGGAATTGTTGTGGAGTCAGATATCCCCGTTCTTTATCAGATACCGACATGTCGGGACGAGCGACAATGCCACCAGTGGATACAATCTCTTTAACGTGTTTGACAATGAGCCCAACGAAAGGTGGCTGCTCATGCTCATGGAAGCTGTGTTTGAAGTCCTCAATGTGCATTGCAAATACTTTGTGTGAGCATAACGCTGAGATGTACTCGTCAATTTTCACACGCGACGGACTCGAAAGCGTGGCATTAATACCTTCTTCGCTGATGAGAATGCGGCCAATAATTCCAAGACGTTCACATAACTCTTGCTGCTCTTGCTTTTGCTCAAGTGGTGCTGCAACTCTTACATACTTGTAAAAAAGGATTACGGAGTGACCCGCCGTGATCATGTCGCCAATTAGCTGGTCATCCAACGATCAGTCCAATGTATACCACATCATTTTTCAAATCAAATTATAATTTTTAACATTTTAATACGATACACAAAATTAGTTTCTAAAGTGAAGTGCATTTATGAAGTCACAAGCCATCATCGAGATTATACAAACGATTTTTTTCCCAAGGCGATATTTGTCGAGGAGGGCTTACAATGATACCTTCGTGTGAGCTCCAAAGCATGTTCAATATCTGGCACCAATACCGTTTGCATCACATTCATCCGCGATGAGGAGCCTCATCCCTTAAGCTTCAATCAACACACATCAGCATGTGCTCTATGAGCGCCTACAAGCGCGCCGTGGGGCGTCGAATGGCTTCTGTTGGATATCTGTATTTAACAATAACCACACAGCTAGCGATCTTATTTAAGATTGTTGTGACTTATGTACTTGTCGAAAAGCAAGTTTAGTTTTTTCATTCATGTCTAGTTTACTTGTAGTGGCACGACCACAGCGTCAAGTTCGTAGTGGGGAGTTTGCTGCTCTTTACTTTTAAGAGCAAGCACAACGTGTAAAACTCACGCGATAGCGGTAAGAGACATTAGGGCGCTTAAGCCTCGGAGAATCTACATTGTGAAATTTGGCCTAGCCGTGCAACCTTTGGGGGAGGAGGAGGGGGCAAGTCAAGACTAGGAGCACTCCGCCTTCAGTCACAAGGGCCTCATTAAAGGAGATTTTTTTGGCAGTGTTGACTCTATCAAATATTATTTTAAAAACTTTTGATATCATATCATCAAAATACAGTGTTTTGAATCTAAAGTCCCTTATCACCAAAGCTTCGTTTCGCACTTCTTTTTCATGCTTCCGCAGTTGCTTAACAATAACCGGCTCAAATCCGTTGTGCATCTCCATTCGTGGTTGCACGTCTATTATTTGCTAATAGCGGCTTTCTTCATTAGTGACAGAAACTGCAAAGCTACGACGAATCTCGTCTTTCGAGACAATCTTTTTAGCGTTGTGTATCTTTACCACCGTTAAGATCGCAAATCAACCTCATTCAAGGTCTTGATTCAAGATACGAACAAACGCATTTCAGTGACCCACACCTTGAGAGAGATGATATAACGGGGTACATACCATAGTATTGCGTACCTATATAGTCTATTATTGTCATATTTCGAAGCTAATCACATCTGATCCTATATTGTAGCAGGGCGTTTCCCACAACAGTCTTTCAAGAACAACACACACGATTGTGCGACGAGGAAGCGATTTGTGCGACGAGGAAGCGATTTCCGACCTGGAGGGGCCCGACGTAGGGAAGAAGAACGACTTAAGGGCTTGAAGACAAATTTGCAACTGATGAGTAATGAGTTAGTGGTTCCTAAGGCTACATGCAAAACTCCTAGCGGTTTTACAAACAAAATCTCGAGTTTCTATATATCTGATTTGTATAATCAAGGGTGTGCTGAAATTGAACTTCAGCTTGAACATACTCAAAAATCCTAGGTGTACGCAGCTTAAACTCCGAAAAGGTTGAACTTCAACTTTCGTGACAAGCTCCCGACAGAAGTGACTGAGTTACACCATCCACTTCAATATACGGAGGGAAGTCGGTCTCGCACTAGTACAAACGTTCCTGCAGAAATGAGCATTGTGTTTCACACAGAATGTTTGTTACTTCATATAAGATACGCATGTGAGGGCATACTGTAATACCTTTTGTTGTAAATTCCCACAATGCATGCAAAAGATTGATTGATGTATATCATAGAAATGGCTAAGCGTAGCCCATCACATCACCCCCACCATCAAATCGGGGTGGTCGGCACAAATATCAAAGACTATGTAGAGATCAAGCGAACAAGCCAACTTTAAAAAAATGCTCTTCACCTAAGCGGCAAATAGCGTTAAGCGTTACCCCTATTTATAACTGAGAGGGAAACAAGAATTTCTACATGGAGCATTTCTTTTGCTGGCGTCGGATCAATAATTGTAATAATCCACCCAAGCCCATCGCAACTAAGATCAACTTCTGGCGAACGTTTGCCTCCCTCAAAAGAGATATTTAGATTGAGCGCCTGCTTTGTTGAGTCGGCGTTGACAGGACTCGAAATTACGACCGAACAAATCCAAGCCCAGATCGTCGTAGTTGTAGTTATATCCCTAGCAACACTACAAGCGATTCTTGTAGCTGCAGACCACGTCGGGACATCACACCATAGAGCCTGACAAGGTCCCCATGTGTTCAAAACCAGCCAACCCACATAGAATGTAGGATATATGCGCATGCAAGTAGGGAAGGTTAGGGTATAAGCATTCTAACCCCCTTGAAGGATTCAATAAATCATGATAAAAACATATCTAAAGTTGGACACTGCAATGTTTAGGCAGTTTGGCTTGCTAACTATTTCAAGATCTTTTACGTCATACTCTTCATTATCCTTCCTTCCACTCTTATCTGCTGGTTCTCTATGCGGATCATGGGTTTTCGACAAAGGGTCTCGAGACAATCGCACAATGGATTGTCTCTTCACAATGAAGTCATCGACGGGCTGTTTCACACGACATGTCATGTCGTTGAGCGGTCTCATTCGGGCAAAATTTGCTTTGAACTCTGTGACAGCATTTAAGTCTGACAGTGACTTTATAGCCATAGTTCCCTCCAACTTAAGGTAGAGACCGCGCCCATTACGGAAGCAAGTATTTTAGGATGGGTACTCTGGCGCAACTGAACGCGGAAGCGTTGGCGCCGGAGCTGTGCCTAAAGGCGCTTGACCGCCCGGAAGCTGAACCAGCAACTGGTTTTGAGCTCGGAAAGCAACGAATTCCGTTTCAACGGCGCCAGGCGCTCCACATCACACCAAGTGATACATTCGTCTGCTTGACGACAAGGAGCCGCTTTGACAGAGCGCGATAGTCGTCAACGTGAGGCAGTCGTTGCACAAAGTGCTCCAGAATCTCGAAGTCTTCCGTATAGCGGCAGCAACCTTGTCAAAATGCTAAGCAGAGCACCCATGACGACGGACTTTGTCCTCACTAGCTCGAAGAGCATCGCAAGTCAGTGGATGGCGATCGACCAAGTCGTCATTGTCCGCCGTTGACTCTTCTCGACGAATGGTCATTACGCTCCGCGTCGTCGTACGCCCCGCGCGTCTCGGCAGTAGCGAGGGCAACCAGAATATCACGAGCTGAGCTCAATCTATGACCCTAAGCTGTTGTGGTCTTAGACAAATCCGTGTGAGAGACCACAGAGCTTGCGGGATCGTGATGAATTAATCCATACGTCGCAGGGCGATAATACGAAGGAATACGGCGCTTCGCCTTGACTTTGGCAAACTCGAATCGAAGATGGCGTTTTGCGCGCACGTTCCTTTCGCTGTGGCTCCGCTGTAAGCTGGACAGCAAAGAATGTCTCCGGTGCCGCTGCACCCATTGCTCAAAGAGCTCTTTATCATATACAGCGGTTTCGCCAGGGGTAACCACCACAGGTATTGTCCGCGTTGCGGGTACAAGAGCGCCCCTTCTTTGAGCGCAAAGTCGAGCACGATATGTATCCAGCTGGATTCTTGAGGCGCCAAGAAGCGAGCTTGCATAGCTTTTCATTGGTCAAGCTCAGCTTGTGTAGTGGCCGGGGGATTGGCCATGTCGACACCAAACGATCTAGTGATCGCGTCCTTTGCTTTAATAGCGCGATCTGCCGAGCGAAAGCCGTATTTAGCACGAGAGTCTCGTACCGACCGTGGATCCGCGCGCATTGACGCCCTGCGGGCAGCCTCCAGCTTCTTCTTCTGTGCCGCGTTGAAAATGATACCATTTTCCTCGGAAGTCGAGAGTCCGGGAAACGGACGCGCTGTCCGCAAGGTTCAGGTAGGGATCGCGTCGCGCCGCTGGCGCACTTCGTTCTCTTCTTTTTCCTAAACTGGTATAGTCGTATTTAACTCGTAGCCGAATTCTTTCGATCCATGACGAGGAAATTCGTCACCCGTGGCGAGTTCGGTGTGTGGTGCCTGGTTGCCGATGTCTTGGGATGCATTTCCCTTCAAACCGCGGACGTAATGTCCGGAGTTGCACCGCGTGAAGGAGATCTCTCCCCGCGGGCACTATCGGAACCAGCGAGGCTGGGTATCTTTCGTTACCTAGACAAAAGGCTAATTGAGCAGAAAATGCGTGAAAAAGGTCCTGGACATGTAGAGATGTCTTAGACACGCAAGCCTCGTATGAGGCGACAGCTACATATGAATTGTAGGTATTCGCAAATTTGATGGGGGAGAGTTTAATGGGGATACACGTACCCATGTATGATAGGGTGGATCACACAAAATGGTGTGACCGTACAAAGCTATGGATTACACAAGTCGGTGTAATTACACAATGGTCTGGCTACACCGCAACAAGAAGCCACTACGTAGCGGGGCTGCCAGTGGTAATGCCTATTAATAAGGTTTTACTATTTAATCTGAAAATCTAAGGTTTTGGATATAGGCGGCTCTGCCGCAAATAAACCAGATACATACAGTATCAATTTTGAAGTATTTGCCTTGGTTAAGGTTTAGGGCAATCTTGGAGGTAGCGCGGATTGCGATCCGCTGCACTCGTACTGGTTCTTTTATAGAACGTAAGGTCGGCGACCTTAGCTTAGGTTAGCTTCCTCCAAGCAACGAGCTACGGCAGCCCTACTGCATCGTCTGTGCAAAGTCCACGGCAACCCCATTGCTAAGCCTGCCGACGAATGACACCATATAGGAGGGGTTCTCGATACATCAGATCTTTTATACTACGAAGGCAAGCCGATCGTTAACCCCTATTCTGTCCTCTCATGCGAAGTGATTTAGCGATCGACAAAGCTCTCATGCAGCCTTATCGTACAGGACGTGGACGTTTTATGAGCTATTAATCACGACGGTTCCAGCTAGGGATGGGGACGTTAAGGGACGGGAAGTTCCCGTAAAAAAATTTTTGATCCCATCTTTACGTTAAGTTTACGTTAAGGACGTTAACTTTGGAACATCTGTA